TACTATTAGACATGCATAAAAGCCGGAGAATGTCTAAATTAATTTTTCAAGACAGGCTACAGGAAAAACAGAAGACGGATACATTGATTATATGGTGCCTAGTTATATATGCGGATTGCTAAGCGAACTAAAATTTTCGCTGATGAAAAACCCGTGTTGTGGGGTTTTTTGATTGCTCGTGGTCGCTTTTTGTTCGTAATTTCGGTCAGGCCATTTTTGCTCCCTCAATGCATACATTGACATCAAAGAGTAAATAAAATTAAAATGAATATATGTGATGGAAAGCCAGGTTTTGAAGAGTGATTGAATAATTTCATTCCATTTAGCTTTTTAATTCGCATGAAACTTAGCGTAAAATAGCCTTAACAAAACAGAAGGGATGATTGACCGGGGGCTGTGATTGTTGATTTGAGCGTAGAAATCTCTCAAACTGTTCATGTCTAACCACATAAAGCTGAGGTAAATGTTTGGCTTCCACCAAACAGGCTCCCGAACATGCTACGCTTCATGCCATAGCGCCATGAACAATGCCGACTTGGTAGACAAGCAAGGCATTTACTTTCTTTATGCTGCAGGCCAGCGCGAGCGAGAATTCGCGGGTCTGAAAAGCAGTGATTTGGTCAGCTGGCCCCCTGATCGTTCTTGTGGGGAGAATGTAAGCGCCGACTTGAGTGTATGCTTGTGGTTCTGAGAGCAATATGTCATTTGAATCAAATGCCATTCAGACTTTCATTCCGTGCTTCGTATCAGCGGAGTTATTTCCCTCTTAAGGCATTGGTTGCCGGAAATGTTGTGGCAAGTGATTTGTGCTACGCCCAACTTATCAGGAGAAAACGTGAAGTTTCGAACTTTAAAAAAGCAAGGCTTCCAAGGCTCCATAGTGATTTCATATCGTCGGGCATTTCAGTTTGTGTGAAAAGTTGGGTGAATAAATTAACTTGACCACAAGCCGTGGTGTCCGACGATTCAATGCCACAGATTCAGGGTTAGCAACCTGTAGTCACAGTGAAGCTATTCTAGGCTGTACATAGTCCTATTTGAAAATACCCCTATGAAAGTGAGGCTGCGTGAAACTCAATGACATTATTGGGTCTGAGCGTAGCATTGTTGGAAAATTCAATTATCAGCCAATCATCGTCTTATGCTCTCATTCAAGGTCCACTTATAGTATCGAAATCTACCCATTATGAAAATAAATATTAATTATACAAAGTGTAACAAAGTGAGCAACACATATCCATTAATTTTCTCATTAAACAATACATTGGAAAACGATTTTTTGTCCTAAAGTAACACAATCATAGAGCAAAAGTAAGCCTTAGGGGGCTACATTGCTTCACGGCCCACTGATCGGACCGTTCCCGACGGAGTGGACATGATGCTTAAGTGTCCTATTGAGTCTCAGCGTCAACTTCATATGGAGGATAACTTCCATAGGTGTTGATAGCAGAAGCTCGGTCGTTCGCATCTATCGCCAATGAGTCGCGAATTACTAGACAATCAGGCCATGACTACATCAAGTTCTAAGTAAGCTTCGCTCAATTAAATTTATCATGCGTATTGGAATTAATAATTAATTTATTTATACATATATTTACATTGATAACGCAAAATTACAAGCATCATTAAATTCTAAATTTGTTCATAATACCAGTTTGGTCAGAACACTATATGTCTATCGTTAACAGGGTTATGCATGAAGGGAATGGCCAAGAGCCAAGCACACAAGTGTGCTTTTGGTGGTATTCGTTAAAACTGTACAATCGCCTCCTACCTTATGAGTTGTATCTATGGTAAGCCATGTTTAGGGCAAGTTGGCGCTCAATCTGTGAGTAAGACAATGAAAATCGAGATCCACATTCTGATCTACTTTTAAATGCTTAATCTTCCCGGTTCCTAACCATGGTGATTTACGTCTGTCAGACACAGACTCCGTATTAGCATCGATCTTATAATCGTTACTTTGACAGCGTATATATGATTGAAAGAGAAGTTAAGAATGAAGCCCACGTATGTGTGCTTCCTAAAAGCGCCTCTACTCACTTTATTTATTTCTTAACTCAGACATCCAGATATGCTGGATTATCCTCATCTTTAACTTCAAGGAAAATTTTATCATCTAATCTAATCAATTCATCAGCACTTCTCATCTGTTTGCGCCCTGTTTTGTAGCACCAACTAGCCGTCTGTACCTTCAACTAACACTTCTATAAAATGGTGGGTTTAAAAGAAGCTCCTGAGACAAGGTTGTTGGTAAATTTTTCATTTCGTATGAAAATGCATGATGAAGAGATTCGTGGATCTATTTCACCAGAAAACCACCGCTGATTCGGGTTGTATTGCAGCCGTTTGAACTTAATACGACGTTCAGGTTGATGCAGTCGACGATACATACTCCCTTGTTTCGGACGAAGACAGCCTGAACTTTCGTTCGTCATGTGACCAACATTCTCAGAGTCATTCTCGCAAAAGCTTCAAAGCTAAGTCAACAAGACTGACTAACTCCTTCTTATATGATATATAAACTCATTGCGAAAAAATCTTTTTCTCGCAATGAGTTTATATATCTTATAGGGAAGAGTTAGTCAGTCTTTTTGATGTTCTGTTAACTTGAGGCCATTGCAACAATGCGTCGCAGCTTTGGAGATATTCGTCAAACTACAAACGAAAGCCTGAAACGAAGAAGGATGTCTCGCGGACTGTGTCAACCTCAACATCATAGTAAAGCCAAATGGCTGCCGTACAACGGGAATCAGCCGTCGTCTTCAAGTGCAATCAACCTACAAATCTCTTCATCATGCATTTTCATACGAAATCAAAGTCTTAACAACAATGTCCAGCTAACAACTTTGAAGCAAAGGGTGTTTCTTGAACCAAACGAGCATTCAATAAAGTCATCCAGATATTAGCTAAACTCGAAACTAAATAAGTCTCCTTGGCTAATCTTCGTGGTTAATAAAATAGCTTACCATTGAAAGTTTACCCTTTGATGATTAAATTTTCGTCTAACTTATTATATAAGAGTTTAGTCATCCTAGGTCACTTAAGGTGATTAAGGACTGATAATAAATTTTCCCACAGTCATATAAGTAAGCCTTACGATGCCGTTGAATTCCACCTAGCCTCGCTTCCTTCATCACTTTACGCAAAATAGGCTGAACACATATCATATATATGATTTACTGGTAGACTCGAAAATCTACTTACAAACGAAAGATGAGTAGTCTAGTCAACTGCTATAGTAAATACAACCTTGCTCTAGGGACAATCCCACCACAGAATGTGCTATGGGAAAATGCCTATTCTTTCCTGTATTTTAACATTTGCCCTGTGAGTCAAAGGAACTCGTGGCAATGTGGCATAGTGGTTAACGTGTCGAGATTATACACTGCACCGCCATAGTTCGAGTCCCGTTGCGGGCGCTGGTGAGACCAGGCTGAAACTGCAGTCGTCCCTAGTCTGGATCAGAATACCTTTTGGAAGACAAAGCTATGCGACATGCAATGAAAACATAGGATTTACTCATATTATTGTAGGAAAATTCAACTATTAGTCCTTTATCGCCTTAAACAAAAAAGGGTGAACATATTTCATATACTATTATCGATAATATGGATTGTATTCACACAATTTCGT